TTTATTGGAGATAGTGCAACAGGTGATCACAAAAACATATTTTGAAAAGCCAGCAAGCACCAGCCAAGGATGCAGGCATATCACCTAATCCATGGAATACGTATAGTCTGGATTAGACAGTATAAAATATCAGAATATACCACAAGATTATGTCAAGTGGTCATTAGGAACCCCCCCATCTCAACAATGTACATATATGAAGCCAAGGCAATGGTGTACCCTGCGAGGCACTCTCAGCTACCTGGTGGATCCTGGAAACAGATACTATAAACCAAAAGGCAATGTACTCATCTGTCTAAAAAGAGTGGGAATATTGCAGGATGGTGAACAGAGGCAGGCAGTGATCCTATAGAGAAGAGAGAGAAAGAAATGTGGTAAAAAGGATTAGGGAAAGACATGAGTATTGGGTACTGGAGAGTGAAATCAACACAAAAATTCCTCCCCTACACACACAAAGCAAAAACAAGGCAAGGGTAATACCAAATGTGAGAATCTCAAAAGAGAATGCAGGATGTTAAAAATTGGGGAAATAAGAATCAGATGGACAGGAAGGGAAAGATTTAATGTCGCAGAAATGGAAGTGGTCCAGGAATGGTAAAAGATATGAATTAGAGTTCGGATTAAAAAGTAGGAAAGAAGCAGAAGAGTGTTACACAAAGGAAAGAAAAAGAATGGTGCATACCTGATAACTCAAGACTGTAGAATTTGAAAAAGTTCAAAGTTCTCTTCAAAAGGGAGAAATTCCTATTGCCTAAACAGGTGATGGAACATTCAAATTCGTCCTCCTTATTGATTCCACACATGACAGGAAGGAACACCTGATAAAGGAATGTAGCTGAAGTACCTGGCAGCATAAGGGAATCCACTATCCTATCCACAATGGTCACCACATCATACCCAGAGCATATGCCTCCATAAGCCATCATTATTACACAATCTATGTGAGGAAATCAGTCACTAACACAAGTAGCAGAAAACAGTACATGTATTAGTGTTCATACTTAGAAGGAAATTAAGTTCCCTCAACATCACAAATCTCATTAAATTTTCAAGAAAAACAAAAAACATCTGATGTGTTCAGTGCCAAGGAATAGAATGAAGAGTGCAAAATCACAGAGGGAGCTAGTGTGCAGGGGTTGTGTCGACCTCCTATTGGTGGAGAGCTTTTACTGCACAACAACATCATTATATAGTAAAGAAAATCACAAGAAATCTCATGAGTTTAGGTGAAAGTTGCCTAAAGGCTAGTGCCATGCAAATCTCTAAGGCAGATGCATGGGCAAGATAGCTTTCTTTGTGAATAGGTGTGAATCATCTCAGAAGTTAAATTTCTTGAATGTCTCAAACTTAAGAGGTAGGAATGGAGCGTCTCCTTGATATTTATTTTTATATATTTCAGCTGACCCTTTTTAATTAATAATAATCATCATCAGGTTGTTTTCTTAAAAATCATGAAAAATATTTAAACACCTACATAAAAACAAAACATGCTTATTTCATGCAAACTCACCTATGCTAAGCTAACCTAAAACAAAAGTTATCATATGCTCCTTCATAAACTTACCTCCATTTTCATCAAAAATGTAAACAGTATCTCCAACATTCAGTTTCAGAGAATGATGATTGTTTTCCAAGTAGTTACTAATAACTGAAAAATGAAATAGTTTATATTTAACAGTTTACTCAGCTCAGTATAATATATGTATAGATAAGTTAATGCAAGTAAAAATACTAATAACAAATAATTAGTGACATTGGATATAGCAAACATAGTGTGGTTGACATATTATTACATGTTCTTCTTTGCCTTCACTCAATTTCTGAAAACACCAATCTGCATCACATATGAAACCAAAAAGAAGTAATTTTCTTTAGTATTGTGAATATAAACTAAAATCAAAATGTTATCATTATATTTATTATTTATCACTACATTACAATGCTTTGAATATATTTTAAATCTTAAAAAAATAGAAACAAGTTTTAAACTTCAGAACACAGCCATGTAAACACAATACTTTAACATTTAAAAAATCTTTTGAGTTTTAATATTTATGGCTGACATTAAACAGAATTCTAATCATTTCATGACTGTTATTTTATAAACAAAATGTTAATTTCCACTGCAATGGACTGCTAAATGTAAGTGACAACTTTAATTGCCAAGGAGGATGTGGAGCAACTGTGCTCAACCAAGAACACAGGATGGGACCACTCCACATTCAGAATTACGAGGAGACAGTGGACTTCTTCCATATATAATGTAATGAACCAACACTGATTAAAAAGAAGGGCCATGCACACCCCAACCAGAAAGCCGAATGTCAAATCTGAACCGGTATTACAAGTAGGCTCCCGCATAGGCTGGTGCCTCTCCTACCAACATCTGGGAAAAAAACATCCACAGTCTTGGGTAGAAGAGCCACCAACTTCACCCTCTTCTCCAAGAGTGGAGGAAAAGCCTCTGTTCACCACCCCATTGACTGGAAACCGGTTGTGGTGAGGATTTCCTAGTTCCACTAGTAGAATCTTGGAGGTAATGTGCATTAGGAAGTCCTGAGGAACAGTGCCCTGGAAACAGTGCAAAAGGTGAACCAAGTTCCCAAATTTTTAAAAGCAAGCCTACCCTAATTTATTTAATCCAATGATTGGCAGGGATGTACAGGATCCCCTTATGCTTTACTCATGAAAGTTCATGAGTGGCAGTCCAGCATAGTACAGTAAAACCACCCAGTCAGGCTCTATATGGTCTTATGGAACACCTCATTTCTACGGAGCCTGTTGCAACCTGTATAAAGTTTATCAAATTAGTGGTTGCTAGTGCAGAATTGGTTTGATAAAAGCACACCTGCTTGGGCAACACTCGCCACAGAGTGAAATCCTGTGAATATGAGGTAAAAGACCCTTAAAGGTAACAAAGAAAATACTCATTCCTTTGTATAATCTAGCAGAACATGGTGTAGACAAAAACCCTGAGATGTAGAGACAGCCAGATCATGCAAATAATGAGAGATAAAAGTATTGGGGGAGGTCTACATACCAGTCTGCACAATGACCTCCAGAGGGCAATTCAACTGGGTCTAAGAACACAGAAATGTGACAAATTTGATTAGATGTGACTCGCAGAAGATTCCTTGCCTTCAAAGAGAGCCCAGAATAAAAAGTCATTGTCTAGCATCTAAAAGGGCATTAGTGCATGCAACAAAACTTTCTAGACCCTCACTGAACATGATAATGATTAAAATCTGATTGGACATAGAAGTGAGAAATAGTGATCAGATGATCGGTAATAAGGATTTATCCCTTCCCTGTTTTACAGTGTCTTGGGTAAAAAGAAACTGGTATGAGGACGTAGAGAGAATGAGAATGTGGTCTGTAGACAAACAGTGCAAATCACCCTGACAGGTAATGTCTGTAAATCAGCAGCCATGAAAAATAAACGATCAGGTAAAGGGGATACATGGCATATAAGTATCAGGTCACAAACAGGTGTTGAGAAAGAACATGCAATGTAACCTTAAAATTACTATTAGGTAACTGGAATGGTTTTTTGGGACCAAGGACCCAAAGTGACTTGAGGAATTCAGAGAGGACTGGGGATTCAAATAACATACAGTTGCGAGAATGGAACAGTAGTCAATAAGACTACCTTAAACAGGGTGATTGTGGAAGATGCAAAATCTCTGCCAAAGTGCCAGTTCAAAAAAAAAAGAGTTATGGTTGGCACTTCTGAACAAAACAGGTTCAACCTCCTCTCAATACACCATTGCTGATATGCGTGTCATTTTTGTTGAGAAATGTTCATCTCAGGACTACGCAAAAACTGAGACAGATACATGGCAACCTTAGAAATTAAACCCCAATGATATGCTAAAGGCTGCAGAACCTGGACCAAGTGCCTCCTCGATGAGAAACACAAGACACCACCATGGAATTGTCAGAATGAAGCCTGAGGATTCTCCCCTTAATAAGCCCAGACCACGAGGCATTGCCTGTTGAAGAGCAAGAAGGACTAAAACATTGTGTAGGGAAGCTTCTTTGTCCATGCATAGACCCTGGAATTCCTAACTGTTCATATATACACCTCATCCCTGAAGCAAAACATTCATGAAGAGATGAAACTCTGGATGTGGTGGCAGTAGAGGAACCCATATTGTAGTAGTGTTCCAACTTAGCAGCCCCTAAAGATAGAAGAATGATCTGGACTAAGGAAACTAAAGAATCCAGTGAATCAATGTTTATAATCTCTTGGTAGCATAAAAACCATTAAAAGGATCTCTTGTGCTCTCTTCCCAAAGGCATGAGGGATGGAAATGATGCCCACATTCCCATAAGAAAAAGAACAATCCATTAAGTGGGAGAAGGAGAGGTGAATAAGAGTCTGGTGACCTATTCCACAGCATTGAGCTGGAAGACAGCTGAGCCCAACTGAGAGAAGAGAAGAGATGAAAAATAAAAAATACCCAGACTGATGACATATGGAATTGGAGCAAGAACAGATGTCTCAGCCCTGAAAATGAAGCCTGCCTTGTTTCTGAAAGTAGAATCAGGATGTAATGGTATCACAACTGAGGAGATGGTGCCAACAATAACCAGTCATCCATGTAATGGTGTGGCACAGTGTGAAGAAATGGAGGTGATGAGAAAAACTCATATGATAAAAGGTAAAAACTTGAAACTGCAATAGCTGACTCTTGTGAACATCAAACACCGATAGTGGTGAGACTACACCACTATGGCAATGTGCAGATAGGAGCTGACTACAACAAATGTTGACATCTACAATCCCAGAATGAGTAACTTGTGAACCTTCGCACTGATATAGAAGAAAAAGATCGATGACTGAACACCAGACAGGAATAAAACCTCTGAAGAACTAGCACAACTGCCCCAGACCAACCAAACTCTGATAGCCCTAGAACTAAGTTCCAAATCCAGATAATCTGTGAGAGACAGAAACCCTATAGGTTGGATTGATAATAGTGGTGAAGATGTGAATTGAATGACTAATCCTGATTCAAGAACCTGCAGTGCTTCTGGATCCGTGGTTAAGGTTACCACATGTCCAGAAATTCTCAGAGCTGAGCCTCCACAGACCATGAAGGTATACAATAATCACTGACACCACTGGCAGCAATCCAGCCGGTCAGAGGAACACTTGGATATAGACAGAATCTATTCTGGGTACCAATGTACCAAGAGGCTGATGTCAAGGGTCAGGACTCATAAGTACGGATATAACTATAACCCCCTGTAGGAGTCGATGAAATTCGGGATTCCAACAACAACAGGGAGGAATGTGGAAGCCAAAAATTTAACTAACATGCATGCTAACAATGGATCCAGCTTGTCATCAATGACGTTGGTGATCCTGAGAGTCTTCCAACAAAGTGAAGTGAAAGGAAAACAAAATGTTGGATTTTGGAGTTGTAAGTTCATAGTCTTACCCTGTCCCATCAGGGGACATTGATGTATTCAGGTTAACCACAAATTCTGCCTTAGAACCCTGAGATATGAGGAGCAGATGTATTATTTTTGAGTCGGAAAATGCTTCTACCTGAAGGTAGTAGGCTAACTCACGAAGTTCCGACAATGTGTGGGTAAGGCATAACTGCCCCTTCACGTAACTGAGAAGTAAACCTTCCAGCATGAACCACAATATCCATGGATGGAGAGAAAACTAAAAATTTGCACACATACCTTTGAGCTATCAAGTAAGGTGCAGGTTCAAAAGCAACTGGAAAAAAGGCCCAAAACATTACACTTTTGATGAACCAAAGCAGAAAACAAATCAAAGGCAGTTTATTCCCAAGTAGCCACCTGTTTTTGATAGGACATTTAAAGACTGTGTTGATTACTATTAATTGGAATAACATTTGGTCAGGTAAATCTGATGTGTCAGAGCAAAGCAATGCTGGGCCATCCACTACATCAAATCAAACACCGGCCCCCAGTTCTGCGAGTCAACAAACTCACCACTGTTCCCGTAAATTGGGTTGTCAATCAGAATAAAAAAAAATTTTATGACAAAAATCAACCAATAACACAGGTAACGTTCAAAGTATCTCCAAATGATTGTAATACTGGGAAACCCATTAGCAATGCTTTGTCGAGAAAAAGTGATAACATTATCTGAATGAAGTGCTTATATATGGCACCAGGATAGAGGGCGCATCGACATAGGTGGAGAGTGTCACGAGATAAATATCACCAAGGGCAATTGGGTAGGGTATTAAAGACTATAAGTGGGATTGAAGGAAAGTATGTTTTGAAAAGATAGTTACATAATGTCATTCAGTCTGAAGCACTTCCTCATTATTGAGTTAAGGTGTTCCAAAGTTTATTTCTAGCACCAGAGAGGCTCAAACTTCTATGACACATTTACTGGAAGAGTGGGGAGTCATTAATTGTGTAAATACAATTTGCTCTGAAACAGCAACAAGCATGACTGGTCACGGAAATGGAACATGTGTGCTGACAGAACAAAGATTAAACAAAATTCTCCTACATTTGGCATGCAGGCATCATATCTTAGAACTTATCCTGATATAAAAAGTTTTTGATTTTTCTGGTGTCAAAATCAGCCATGTTGGGATTGCGTGGAAGAATCATGTTTCACTCACCTGCAAATGATGGCCTGTATTTATTATTTAAAACTGTTATTGTTATAGATGATGCAGAAATACTGTATTTTAGAACATTAACAAGGTGTTTGAATTTTTTCTGTAAAATAACATATGGGAAATGCTTGCATATCTGAAATTTTTGCCTATCCTGCACTATCCAGGCCTGGCAGATGCTAGATAATAAAGCTTTTACCATCCTTATATTCCCATGTACACTTCTGTCATTCCACTACTCAAGCATAGGTCAACCTCAAAAGGTAAATTTATCTACACTTGTGTTCTTTGGAATTTTCAACAATATGTTTGGATATCTGTGTGGAACAGCATATTACTTTTTTATATGTTAATAAATATTACGACATGAAAAATTGTATTGAGCTAGATTTTTAAAATCAAGTACATTGTAGTCATTACAGAACCAAGATTCATATCAACATAATACACAAACCTTCAAATTTAACAGTACAAGTACAGTATTATAAATAACTCACAAATGTGATATACTTGACACAGAAATTATAATGACCATTTTCATTTACTCAATATTCAAATATTTAGTTATTGATATTTTTTTTATTCTGTAACATTTATTCATGGATTATTTGTTGATCTTTGGTACAACCATCACACTACCTTATAAATTATTTTACTAAAAAAACCATCTAACACTATATTCCACTAAGAAGATGTGTTACATTATTACAACCACATTTAGTAACACTCAAAACTGTAACTTAACTCATAATTATTAATGGTGTAAACTATAATCAATGAAATTCATTATTGGTTGTTTACTACTATATGACATAATACTACTGACCAAAGACTAGTATGTTTTATCTTTCAGCTGTCAATAAAGATAACTATGAAAATTTGTTACTAAGAATGCACTATCTCTTGGTACAAACTGATTTTATTACTTAAGTAAAATGGCAGTTTTTGGTATTCTACAGTATACATCTTGTCCAAATTGGTCCATCAGTTTATCAAAAAACATCTGAAAGTCATTGTATGTGGTATTTTTTGAACATCTGTTATTCCTCTTTGAAAGTAGTGCACTTTCAGTTGCACCTGCTCAATGATACTGCTCAAATTTGCAGGAAAAAAATTATGTATTATAAAAATGTTGACAAAAACTTGTACTTCATCAAGATATATGAATGAATCTAATAAAAAGTTGCAAGTTGATTGACAATGTTCAGTAGTAAGTCTAAAACATATCACACTAAAAATTGGTTTTAGATACCTGTAGGAGGTCACAGATAGCCTCATCGTGTAACTTTGTGTTTCACAAACGAATAATTTACTATACTATATGTACAAAAAAAAAGATTAAAAAACTATGGACCAATTTCTACTTCATACTACAGACTTTATCCTAATAAATAACATAAACTGCCACTACACTGGTAATACATTAGACTCATTTCTAAAATAACTCTATGGGTCATCCATCCTGAACTTTGAATTTTGATAATGACAAACTTGAGGAATTTAAAAAAAAATAAACAAAAACGTTTATTGTTTAATAATAGTACTAACACATAAAACAGTTTGGAACATTTAACTTTGAAACCAGTGAACTACACGAGAAGGCATATGATCTCCAAATTATAATCCAAATAAGCTTAGAAAATAAAAGCAATTTATAAGAAACTGCAAGTGTTTGCCCTGATCAAGAGGTAAAAAATTCCAAAAATAAAAACTACATCAGTACATGCAAGTTTTGCAAAAGATACTGATTTATTGGTTGGAGATGGTTCTAAGAAGGCTTATTACTAGTACTAGGAGTAGGATAATGGAAGGTTGCCCTACAAGTTACAGGAATAGGTTAAAATATCGTAACAGTTAACTTATTTTATCCTGAGAAAAAAAAAAAGAGGACGGATTTAAATGTTTCTCAGGGGTGGGGTGCAAGTACAATGTTGTTGAAAGATCAAATGGTACCTTGTTCGTGTGTTACAATAATAAACAACGTCATTAGTACTAATTAAAACGTAAAATGTAAATCAGGCTAGCTCACGCGGCGTACACAACGCTGTCATTAAGTATCACAGTATTACTAATCAGAATTAATATGTGCAGTACTAGAACTAGTAGTAATACTACTACTAATGCTAGTAATAATATAATAGTTTAATACTATTAGTATTACCGTACTTTTGTTTTGACTTACCAACGCCGTATTTTATTCTATCGGGTGAAGGCATGTGTTTCGCCATACTCCTTTGAAAACTTCATTCAAGGGTTTATTATATTGCAGTATATTAAATACCCTGAGATTTTTCTATTAATATGAAATTAACAATAACAAAAGAAACCTATTGCACTCATTTCTCCATAATCCTTATCCAGACGATCGCCATAATGATTTCTCAACTCTCGTACGTTCGCGTCAAACTTCCGCTTCCTCATAGCTGTTGGTTGTATCAATTTCTACGATAATGTAATGTATTTGCCACAGTGATCAATTGATTAAAATCGAACAATGTAACATCTATAATCACATTTCTAAGTATTCTTGCCGTTTTGGGTGGACTATTGTTGAATGTTTATGTTCGTCAAGTTTTCATTTTTATTCCTTTATGTGTGTAAATGTTAATGATTTAATATAGCGAACACTGTCAACATGTACACACTTAATAATAATATTTCATGACCAAGTTTCAAATGTAAATTTTGAAACGATTCAATACCAATCTATAATGCACTTTTGAAAGATCCTTTGAAGATTATACCTTTTGTATTTTCCTGAAAAAATGATATAATATTTGTTTTTGTGCCTATGTTGATAGCGCTACGGTGGGTCATTTTTGATGGTTTTTTGTTTGTTTTTTGTATTTTGATTATGTTTCTGCTAAATTACATTTTTTGAGTTATGAAAAGCATTTTCTAAGTTTGTCATAAATTTCGCTTTTTAATATTTGGTTTTGCCTTTTATATTTTTTATCACGGATATTTGGTGCTGAATTTTTCCAGTATAAAATTTTAAAACCTTCCATATTTGCATACGTTTTCCCATTAAGATGGTGTTGCAACGAACGAAAAAGATGGTAATCTGATGGTTCCATACCTGGAGAATATGGTGGGTGGAGGAGAACTTCCCAACCCAACTCCATAATCTTGTGTTGCGTCAAACGTGCCACATGTGGATGTGCATTCTCGTGGAGAAGAAGAACACCTTTCCGATTGACGAGTGAAGGGCGTTTCTGGTGAAGGGCTTGATTTAAACGTTCCAGTTGCTGACAATAGATCTCTGCATTCACAATTTGCTGTGTATTGAAGCGTTTGAAATGAATTATTCCTTTGATGTCCCAAAGTTGCAGAATATTATGGGCACTACATTTTCATTCAGCCGTGTTACCATTCTCACTTAATTGCTCCAACAGTCCTAGTAATTCATCCAGTTTTTCATGTACAACTTTTATTGCCTTTTCTCTTGCACTCCACCGTGTTTCTGATTCCCCACTTGACAGAGATCTTAAGCTCCTGCTGCAGTTCGTCCCATCGAGTTGTTGAATGAGCAAAGAAATTATAAATGA